CCCTATGGGGCAGTTCTACTCTGTCCTGTAGGGTCACTATGAGTCAGAATCGACTCAACAGCAACAGGTTTTACCTTCTATGAAAACCCACTGCTGTCAAGTCGATTTTGACACTTAATGACCCTATAAGACAGTAGTATTGCCCCATAGTGTTTACCAAGGCTGTAATCTTTCTTTCGCGGAGCAGCTAGTGGGTTCCAACAGCCGATCTTTTGGTTAGCAACTGGGCACTTAACCACTGCACCACCAGGGCTCCTTACCCCCCTTTTATTTCCCTTTCCCTACCTGCTGCCTGTACATGCTATTTGTCACATAGATATGGCTGTCCTGTTAGTATTTAATCCTGGGAGAGAGGGACTTAGGTGTTCTCCTCCCAAAATTTGAACTGGGGTGTGCTTGGATGCCATCTAACCCGGTGGACAGGAGCCTAATTTTGGGAAACCTAGGCTGATGATGATGTGTGCTGTTCTACTCATCCCTGGCCTGTTTATTCTGTGAGAAATAAATGCCTGTTGATCATGTCATTAGAAGTGTCTGCTCTGTGCTCTGCTCCAAACGGTCCTTCACTAAGAACTTATGAATATAGTGACATTGTAATATTTAATACTCCTAACAACCCTAAAGATCCTTTGAGATAGAGACTATTGATATCTTTATTTTCCAGATGATAAAACCGAGGCACAGGGTGGCTAAGTAACTTGGCTTAGATAACACAGCTAGTGAAGTAGAGGAGCTGGATTCTGGACCCAGGTGATTTAACTCTGGAGTCTACCCTCTTAGGCATTTGCCTTAGATTCTAAAGTTCTCGTTCCAAGATAGGTAATATAGCCTCATGGCAACTTACAGAGATATGGTTGTTCTTGCTAGGTGCCGTTGAGTCGGTTCCAACTCAGTGACCCTATGTACAACAGCAGAACACACTGCCGGGTCCTGCACCACCCGCACAATCGTTGTTATGCTTGAGCCCATTGTTTCAGCCACTGTGTCAATCCATCTCGTTGAGGGTCTTCCTCTTTTTCGCTGACCCTCTACTTTATCAAGCATGATGTCCTTCTCCAGGGACTGATCCCGCCTGATAACATGTCCAAAGTATGTGAGACGAATTCTCACCATCCTTGCTTCTAAGGAGCATTCTGGCTGCACTTCTTCCAAGACAGATTTGTCCATTCTTCCGGCAGTCCATGGTATATTCAATGTTCTTCACCAACATCATAATTTACAGAGATATGGGTGCTCTATATAAATTTCAAGGAGCCCTGGTGGGGCAGTGATAAAGTGCTCCGCTGCTAACCAAACAGTCGGTGGTTCGAACCTACTAGCTGCTCTGCGGAAGAAAGATGTGGCAGTCTGCTTCCATAAAGGTTACAACCTTGGAAACCCTATGGGGCAGTTCTACTCTGTCCTACAGGTTTGCTATGAGTTGGAATCTACTCAACGTCAAGGGAATTTGGTTATATAAATTTCAATGTCTTTGTTGTTATTGCTGCTGTATGTCATCAAGTCAATTCCAATTCATAGCAACCCTATGTGACAGAGTAGAACTGCCCGTAGGGTTTTCTTGGACATAATCTTTACAGAAGCAGACAGCCAGTTCTTTCTCCCACGGAGTGGCTGGGTGGGTTAGAACTGCCAACCTGTCAGCTAGCAGCCAAGCACTTCACTGTTGGCACTACCAAGGCTCCTATTACTCATTCTGGCGGCACGGTGGTTAAGCACTGGGCTGCGAACTGAAAGGTTGGCAGTTCGAACCCACCAGTGGCTCTGAGAGAGTAAGATGAGGCATTCTGCTTCTGTAAAGATTACAGCCTTAGAAACCCTATGGGCAGTTCTACTTTGTTTTCTATAGGGTCACTGTAAGTCAGAATTGACTCAATGGCAAAGGGGTTTTGGTACAAAATCATCTCTCCAGCAAGACTTGCCCTGTCCATCCTATGGAATATGCCTCCCTCCCTATCAGTCTCTGGCTCCTTACGCTATTATATTTTTCTTTATAGTCCCTTCTTTGAGTGGCATTTCGCTCATTGTGTCCCTGATAAAAAACATGAGCATCTCGTTCCCTGATAGTTCCTAGCTCATTAGAACAGAAGCTGACAGGTAGGGAGCCCTCCATGAGTTTTTGTTGAATGAATGCCCATATGACAAGATGGTGCCATGGATAATTTTTTGTTAATTCTAATTCACAGGTGTGAATGAATGCAAGAACTCCACAGTATGCCCAGCCAAATCCATTTGCAACAAAATTGTGGGAGGCTACTTTTGCACCTGTGAACCTGGATATGTGTCAAGCAGTGGGGCAAAACAGTTCACTGATCTTGGAGTTATTTGCACAGGTGGGTATTATTTAGCTAAGAATTTTCTAGGAAAAAAAGTAGGTATATGCATACAATATCCCAGAGACTTGACCTAAATTTCCACTAAAAAAAAAAAAAAAACAACAACTACATCATCCTGATCAAAAGGGGGTGAAATGTGGGACAGAATTTAAAATTCTCATGGAAACCAAACTTTCTGAAGCCATTGAGGTTGGATGACTCCCTGAAACTATTACCCTGAGATAATCTTTAAACCTTAAACCAAGTTTAGATTAATTAGTAAAGTATGTCTGCTATGAGCATTGTGCCCTTTAAAAGAATTATCTACATGAGAGAAAACTGACAACAGAACTCTAAAGGTTAGCTCAGAAGTTTAGAGGACAGTGAGTTTAAGTTAATGGTGGCAGAATACTTTGGAAAAGAATAGCGAGAATGGTTGCACAACTTAAAGAATGTAACCAATGTCACTAAATTGTACATGTAGAAATTGTTAAAATGTTGTGTCTTTTGTTGTGTAGGTTTTCACCAAAATAAAAAATAAAAGCAATAAAATAAATTAGATGAAAAATATCAAATCAATAAGGTTGATACTGGATACCTACAAATATTACATTTAAAAACATTTTTGTGAATATGGAAATCGGTCCTTACATTCTTTAGCCCAAGTATCTTTTTGACCTGAATGGCACATTCTTTTAATCTCATGGGCCAGTTGCAAATAATAAACAGTGGTTGTCGGGACCTGTGCTCATTAGCACTAAGTGGACAGGAATGTTGGACAGGGATATTGTGAAGAGGTTTGGTCCTCAATTAGGAATATTTTTTTTAATAACATTTTATTGTGTTTTGGTGAAGGTTTGTTTACACAGTAGTTCAGGTTCCCACTCAACCATTTCTACACAAATTGTTCAACAACATTGGTTGCATTCTTCACAATGCGTGAACATTCTCATTGTTTCTGTTCTGGTTGTTCTGTTTCCATTAATCTAGTTTCCCTGCCCATTGATCTTGTCTTTTTTTTT